GCTCCACAAAAGCCTAAAATTAGAGGAAAGATAAATAAATCAGGGATAAGAGGTAGCGGTAACTCTGCAGCTCCGAGGAAGCAAAGGGAGAAAACAAAGGATTACAGAACCACAAGCAGTTTGGTTAGAAAAGAGGATGGGAGTAGGCAAAAGGATAAAACATCTAAAGGAGAAACTAAATTAAGAATATGGCAAAGCGTACACATTCAGGCATTTTCCATGCGAGGTTTTCTGCTGTGAGGAGGGACACTGGGCTGTAATTTCAAGGGAAATATCTTCTAATGAGAGAAACTCCATAACACATGGATAATGAAATTAGTACAGCAAAGTTCTTAAGGAAATAGTTCCAACCAAACACTACCATAAAACTTCATCTTAACTAAGATAATCTAATTCCAAATTACTCATCCATTTAAATGTGACCATAAAGAAAAATTCAATTGTGATGATAATGTAATTAATTACCATGTAATATTGCAATGCACTCAACGCTACATTTGAGACGGTTAATGTAATACTAATGAGATTAACAAGAATTTTGAATTTAGAGATATGATGATGCCATAGTTTGCTATGTTCTATGTCTTAAATTTTATTATGTCTAAGGTGGGCCTAATATTTTGTAAATCCTATACAAAGGGATGACAAATTTTTAGCTATACTTATAAAATAAAAGCAACCCTATAGGACAAAAATACCCTACAAAGTCTGTTCTTCACAGAGATTCTATGTATGGCAGAGGTATTGTACTTGAGTGTAATACACTGCATCAAATGTTGTGTCCACTCCCTTATCTTAAAAATATCTGAAAGTATCTATTAGCATGTGAATTCCTACTGTTACAGCTTCCTTATCCTTTGTATGATTGCTTGTGAGTTGTAGGACAAAATAAAATAAATAATCTCAAGTACACCAAAATACATTTAAATATAAATTGTGCTCTGTTGCACTGCATGATAAATTGTGCTGAGGGGGAAACATTAACAGTCACTGTGAGAGGTGGCCTTCCATTTCACAATGCCAATTCTGTAAAGCTGCTACTGTACCGAGCGGCATGGTGCACCATGGGAATGTTATTATCAGCTCAGGTAGCCCACTCCTTGATTTTGCACAGACACATAAGAATGCAGATAGAGCCATATATAGCCAGAAAAATACTGGGACACACAAGCCAGTAACACTAGCAAGCACACGTATGCTGTGTTGTCTTAAGGATGCACAGTGCCTCCAAGTGGCCTGAGCCCGCCACTGCAGTACAGCAAAATAAACCTGCTAAAAATATCTCCTCCATTCTCATGATTGCATGCCTTGCCTTTTTATATCTCATTAAGATTGGGCCTAATTACCCTGCATTTCTTTTTCTCCAGCATCTACTTCAGAGCAGGAGGCTTTTCAGATGCTTTACTTTCTAACAAACGGTGATATACACTGATTTGTCATTACAGGCAACATACATTTTGCAGGATGATATTATTTGTGGGGGTTTTTTCAGCTCATTTTGAGGAAGAATTTACTCAGTGAACAATGAAAGAATGATTAAGAGAGTGGCCTAAACAGAAAGAAGGGAAATAGCAGCAAAATGGATAGGATAGGGTGAGCTCAGTGCATCCAATTACACTGAGTGGGGCTCATTTCCTCTAATCAAATAGCTCAGTTAAATATCTCAAAGGCAGATTCCCCATTGAGCCGATCTTCACACATGAGCAATAAGTCACTAAGTCTCTTTCTCTTTCTGCTTCTGCCCTTTTCCTCTCTAGCTGCAACTCACTCAGCAGCTATCATCAGACTTTTCCCTTCTCTTCCAGCAAAGACAATCACTATTCCCTTCTTCTCCAACCAGAGATTTGTACCTCGCTGCTCACAGTGCATAAGGTAAGAAAGAGGAGAGCTATAACTGAGAGGGGTAAAATGACTATGCTATAGATAACTTTGGCAGCTTTTCAACATAAGGTAACAGGAAAAATGTCTTTTCACATGTTTCACAGGACGGTTACACACAAGGTTCAAAAATGCATTCAGTCATTTCTCCACTGATATCTAATGATGTTGAGTTTCATAGCATTGTCCAAAGGCTGGAATTATGTCTGCCACTGATACTATAACAGCCTCCTGTTTCACAGTGGACATACACAAATCCTCTCGTTAAACACAACCTAGTAGTCTTGTTACTGTTTTACTCTGAAGACAAGAATACAAACAGACAACACTGGATTTTGACTTTACATCTCTCCAGTCCAACTTCTATACTTGTTTTGCACTATTTCAGTTACAAAATAACATGATATCAAGAACTGCCGTCAATTCATGTGAAAACCACCTTGTACTTCACCTCTTTGTGATCCTGTGTCACGGAATGTCAATAGTACTTTGCCTTTTCATAACATCAAACAAATCTCACACATGATGATATGTGACACGCCTATGGCATGTGAGCTTGTACTGACAGCAGCAATGAACATACAGAAAGAGCATGCACACAGCACACACACCTCTCTCCTCCTTTTCTTATTGCTTTGGTAGTTGCTACGGATCCATTATTATCAGATAAACACATTATTTCCAGTGAGCTTGTGTCAACATCACATGGTAAACATATACACACAAAGCTTGTTATACAGTTCCTAATCCAGCTCATTTTAAGCTCTTTAGGCATTCCTGAGATCAGGTGCCTTGGTACAGAAATACAGAGAACCACAGCAAGGCCAGCGATGCAATTAACACACAGTTGGGGGCCAGGTCAGCATTCCTCTAAGGGAGAGAGAGAGAGGCCTTGGCATGAAACTGGCATTGAGAGCTGGCAGAAAACTCTTCCTTTCCTTTTCAGCTTTAGTTCTGCTTGTTTAATCCCTAATTAAAAAAGAAAAGTAGAATTATTATGTGGTGGAACTGATTAATGGACAATGAACTGACTAAAGGCTTATGCAGTGTGTCATGCTAAAAAGGCCTGCAGGTGTACATATTCTGTACAAGTACAGAATACTATAAGGCTGCTCAATTATCAAATAAAAAAAAAACATAATCACGATTATTTTGGTCATAATGAACTTATTCAACTGAAGATTTATTTTTGTTAATGATTATGCATTATCTTATAAAGCCCATGAAATAAGAAATTGTAATTGAATATTATCACCTTTAAAAAGCATCTTAGAGAGGACGACAGCAGCAAGCAGCACAATTTCAGTTTTCTGTGTGTGTGTGTGTGCGGGTGTGTGTGTGTGTGTGTGTGTGTGTGTGTGCGTGCGTGCGTGTGTGCGTGTGTGAGCAAAGCAGGTGACATGTGAACTACTCAAGTTGACGACAACTCTTTACATTACATAACGCTGAAATTCAACCATGGTGTTCCGTCGGGAGACACAGTTACATAAACTAGGCTAATGGTGAGAAAAGTATAAATTCAGTATAGAGTCAGGGACACCGTGAATATATTACAAGCACAGACCCGGTAAAGCAAGGCTTAACACACCGAGTTTAGAATAAGCATAAATAATATGTAAATTGCTCAACCATCAGTAGAGGAAAAGTCCGCAAGCCACTAGACTAATTTCTGCACTGTAAAAGTGCCAAAGGCTGAACGGTGATCACCGAGAACGATGTTAAGATTGCATAATACAGGAAATCTCCATTGTTTACAGAAGAATACTGTAAATTAATTTATAATTTATAATAGTGATACTACATGGCATACAAATGTCAAAACTATCCCGCACAATCAATCACTGCAGTAAGATTATCGGATCATCACAAACTCCCTTATCTGAACTGTACAACCGCTTTGTGATCAGGAAAGTATCCCGATCACAGAGGACCCCTCTCACCCCCTCCACCACTCTTTCCAGTTACTACCATCAGGCCGACAATATGAAGTTCCACTGGCCCGCAAAAAAGAAGTCGTTCATTTTGCAATAATCAGTCTGGAAAACAACATAAAATAGACACTGTACAGCTGCTGTTTATGTATGTTTTTAATGTGTGTTGAACATCTTGTCGAAGGAGAAAATCTGCCACTGCTTTGGGACAGACAACAAAGTATATATAATGAAGTAATATCTATTTATCTTTCTATCTATCATCTAAGGTTTATCACACCCACTGAATCAATACAGACTGTAGGCACACATGTGGGATTTTCAGGGATTTTCAGTTAGAGTAGAGTAGAGTCAGTATGCTGTGTGATTTAGGGTAATCTACGGTTGGCTCCTGGAGCTAACATTAAGTACATTTGTTTTTTTAAATTGTTTATTGTAGGCCTATATTTTTTAGTCGTTTGATGTATGAACTCTTGTCTGTAGTGTCCATGGAAAAGTTAGAAGAAGTCAATTTGTATAATGTGCATCACACCATTCTCAAGGTGTCAAATCCTTCACATTCGTTTCAACCATCTCCCTCTTAAAAACACTGTATTTGAAAATTACCCCACTTCTCAGTTACACAAGCCTATTCTTTGACAACTACCAATCAGTAAAGCTGCAACAGCTTTAATTGTTCTCTAAAGTTTTTAGCCTTAGCCGTATCATAGCTAAAGGGTTCTGGCTGCCCTCCACCCATTTCCCTTTCTAAAATATGATACAGAGCAATGTGCCAGTAAGCGAGGGCATAAAGGGAGGAGTGGAGAGCATGAGGGCTTGTTGGCAGACAACAAAAGTCCTTACCTTCTTATCAGTGTAGTTATCAATATAAACAACTGAGAAATTTTACTTCAAATCATATTAGAGCTGAAACAAGTTAGTTTACTATCAATTAATCTGCAACACAGTATTTATCACTGTTAACTTGAAAAATTGTCTGACTCCAAATAAGTAAGCTAATATCTTATATGATCACATTCATATACATTTTCTTGAAATCTGTCAATTTCTTGATACAAGTGAATTGAAGAGTTACCCTTTTCCTTTAGGATTTTTTTCCTGAAACCCAAAACAGCAGCAGGAAGAATTGAAAATTGTTTAAAGAAAGACCCAATTTTTTTAACAAATTAACACATTTGAACACATTTATGTCAAAATTCATAAAAGCTAGAAACTGGGACTCACCATGCTGTTGAGCTCTGAGTCATCATAGCTGTCACATGGATGTGTCCCAGGCCCAACAAAGGGCTCAAGGACATCCTCATCCCACATGTAGGTTCCACCAGAGCTGTTGGAAGGCGACAGCTCCACAGAAGAAGCTTGAAGGACATTACACCGCTCTGGAGACACCAGTGGTCCTTGGGAGTCCTGCATGGGGCTTTCTTCTTTATGTCCTGCTGAAAATATAATAATAATAATAATAATAATAATATTATTTGTAGAGCTTTACTTTATTTATAAACCCAGGGCTTAACAACTGACACAAATATAACACAAGCACTTTGTTGAACTTCCTTTTAATTCAGTTTCTTTACCTGTCAGATCCATAGTCTCCCAGTCAAGGGTCTCACTGAGAAAGCTGTGCAGGCGGGTTTGAGTACTGCTGCCAGTTTTCCTGTTATCAGGTAGGTCCCCATCACTGAACACATCTCCCACACTGTCAAAGTCATCTAGAAACTCTTCACTAATGTCAACTCTGTCTAGAGATGAGGCAGAAGATAAGGACATATCCTCCAGAGTCTCGCCTGCTGCCTGGCCAGAGCTCTGCCTAAGCACATCACTCCCTCCTCCTTTTCCTCTTGCATCTCCAGAGCTTCCATCACTTTCACTCCGTGAGTCTGTTTTGTCAGCCTCACTAGTGCGCTCAAAGTCTATTGCTTTTCCTAAATGGCCTCCACATTCAGGGGCAACCAAAGGTCTGATTTCCCCCTTGACCCTACCTGGAAAAAGAGTCTTCTGCTGCTTGGCCTGCCTGGATCGAGGCAGCCTGTAGCCTAAACCGTTTCCCAATGACTTGGTCAGCACACAACTGGGCAGCAGAGGCTTCCTCAGAGAGCTGGGAGTAGTGGGTGCTGAAGGGGTCGAGAGGGTGGGCAGAGAGGAGGCAGCCGGAGGAGTTCTACTGTACTGAAGTCCTCCACCCAGACCTCCTGAGCCTCCAAGGCTGCTATTCAGGCCTCCAAGACCCAAACCCACTCTTCCATTGCTAAGCTGAGGGGGTTTAAGGAAACTACTCCGAGGTGGCCGGAGCTGAGTGTTGGTCAGGGGCTTAGCTAGCTCCACAGCTCGGTTAAAAGAGAAGGACCGTGTCATGGGCTGGCTGGTGGGCGAGGGAATCTGCTTAAAATGAGTGAAGCTGTTTGAACGCACCATGTTGTCCAGTGCCAAGTTCTTCAGGCTGTCACTAGACTGGGACAGGCTGTCTTGAGAGCTGCTTCTGGGAGAGCTAGATCCTAACCTCGGCCGCACAAGGCGAGACTCTGATCCTGTTTGAGCAGGAATGCTGGAGCCATTGTGGCCCATTTTAGGACCTCCGTTCAGTGGACTTTGGCCTAGCTTGGTTCCAACTTTGGGACTCATCTTCAAGGACTGCTTGGGGATGGCCTTAGGACTGGAGACCGCTACCATCAAAGAACCTGATCTTCGCATCTTGGGCGTCGCTGGAGAGCAGTTTTTTACCTCCTTTGCCAATGAGGGAAGCTGTGTCTGAGCCTTGTCTTCACCTCCATCCCCAGGGCTGGTGGGGGTGATGGGGCTAGAAGTGGTTGTCCTCTCCTCTCTCTTCAATTTCAGGGAAAACGGAGAGGCACGGATTATGCCATTTGGGTGTGTTCCTTGAGGAGTTGTCTTAACATCCTGGGTAGCGGTAGCTGGCTGTATGGAACCATTTGACAAGGGGCTAGCGCCACCAGTCGAGGAGCGTCCACCAAACTTAGGCAATCTGGATACCATGGCAGGCCTGATGGGTGCTTTTTCTTCCATTAGATGCCAACAAGGGCATGTAGGAGCATGGAATCACACAACTGGAGAAAGAAAAGACAGAAAGACAAGAGAGGATTAGATTTAAGTGTACATGATTTGATTTAGGACAAATAGCTTTGTAGGAAAGTCTTTTAAAACTCTGTTAATGCCGAACAGCTGCGACATTGAGTAGCTCTTCTTTTACAATATAAAGCAGGAGATATCAAATAATTCCAATATTGTGCCCTACCACTGTCATCCTCTGTCCAAAACAGTGATCCAGCCGTTTGTTACATGTCAAGCAGGACTTGTCTTTTCTTCCTGCTTTCTGTCTCTACCCCCTCCCCTGTGTTTTCTCTTGTGTCCTCTCCTGGTTCTAAGACTGTAATTGGCTTCCACCTCTGCAGGCTGGCCAATCGTCATGCCAAGCCAGCAATAAAAGAAGCCTGCCGAAAGTGTTCACTCTCTCTGACTCTGACACTGGCTATGAAACTGCATTGTGTATGAGCACACTTGGTAGAATTATATAAAGAAAGGCATATGGTAGGAGGTTGGACATTGTAAGTTTGGGGTACCCTTTACATTTTTCACTCATGCAGTTTATTTCTGTCTAGAAACATTAGGTTTATTGGTCGGTGCCACCTCTGTAAGTTTTGGTTAAGTTCTCTTTGTAGAAAAAACAGTTATTATATATAATAAATAATCTATAGTATTTTGGTTTCTTCTGGCACCTTAGTTTGGCCTGGTTTTGTTTGTTATATATAATAAATAATCTATAGTATTTTGGTTTCTTCTGGCACCTTAGTTTGGCCTGGTTTTGTTTATTTTCAACTAATGTACTTTTTGGTACAAATATTTTTATAACCTTTGTTGTATGTTGTATGTATTTTGTCAATAAATCTCCTTTTAATTGTCACTGCCACTTTGACTTAATTTCTTTGGTTGTTGTGTTGTTGTCTCTTTTTTATTTCTTAAAAAGGGATGGAACAACATTACCAATTACTAGGGGCGTGACGAGATCTCATCCCACAAGATCTTGCGAGATTAAATTGTGACGTGATTTCTCGTCAGGTAAAAAGCTGTCTTGCAAGACTCAACTGACACAATTGACATTTTTCACATGCTGTCAAGCCACACATTAATTTTCTTGTGAAATACAAATGTATAACTGATAAGATCTCGCAAAGCTGATCAACTTGGCCTAGTTGATGCCACTCCGGCGTACGCCCTGATTTTAATCAACCACACCGCTCGCGCTGTGAGTCCAGACAGCTGTGACAAATGGTAACATAGCTGGTAGAGTTTTGCAACATAAACATCTAAAAACTGAAGTATAACTTTCCTCTGTTTGGGACGGTGAGCTGCACTTTATCAGAGCTGCTGAAGTTAACATGTGTGGATTTGTGGTGAGATTTCGGCCAGTTAAAGTCCAGGAGTTTATAACTGAATAAAAATTAAATAATTAATCATTGAGGTGAAAAGGTGCCACATGCACATTTTAAGAGGTTACTTCCATCTGCGTCGCCAGGTAAATTTTCAGGGGCTTTAGCCCCGGATGTTTGACTGTAGCCCCGAATGTAACTAAACGACAACATCAAATATTTTCCGCATTAGTATGCAATAATCTTTATAATACAGCCTGTGCATTTTTTTATTAAATAAATTTGGAACTAGTCGAAATCCCTCCGTTCCTCTCCCAGAGAGGAGCAGGGGGGGTTAAAGATCAACTTTCAACAGACTGCTGAAGAGACCCCAACGGAAGGGGGTGGAAAAGTTTCTTTCTCTAAGTGCTATCCCTGACCATAAAACTGGCACCTTTTTTAATTCCGAAGCTGATAACGCGGTGACTGACTGTTAAACTGACAAAAGGGAAGCTAACCAGCGATTAGCATTTTCCTGAACAGCTTATCAAAACTGGGTTAATCTAAGCTTTCCTCATGTAACCTGAGCTCCCCCAAGTGGACGAAATAAGTATTACATACCATCATCGGAAATGCCGTTAATGTACAAATGTCACCCACTTATCCTGACCAATAATGTGACAATTGTTTTCCTGTTACCAAATGCTTAACTTAGAACGGTACAACCGTTTGACCATTGAGGTTTGATTGTGGAAAATATTTGATTATAATACGCGCAAATAGATTTCTTTTCTTTTGGATATTAAAGTTTAGAAAGGCAGTCCCTCGGGAAACCTGAAACGCCCTCTGGGAAACCACGCCCCACGCAACAAAAGAGCAACAAACGACATCGTTCGCGCTCTCTGCTCTTCTCCTCCCCTCGTGACCTGATCTTCCGCTCTGCTCTCTTGACGCTTCGGCACGCGTCCAGCGTTCCTCTCCAGGCAACGCCCTAAGAGTTCTACCAGCGCAACAGGCCTTTGTTCGCTTGAAGCTACACACGCGAAGTGCCGCGACATTTCTTTTGTTTTGTTAAAGTTATCAGTCCGTTAAGTTACACTGGACTAATTCAGGAACGACCAAGTTCCCTTTTAAGCTTGTTCATCGAGCCAACGTCACCGATGTCAGACCGAGCCACGTGGTCTTGCCAGCGGCAACAAAGAAACCTGAAAACAGCCGAATTGCCAGACGGAGGACGGCGTTTTCTTCAGACACGCAGAACCCCGGAGAATCCCTAGCAAAAAGCAAGGATTGGGCAGCTACCGTGGGACCCGTGCAACAGGCCAAAGCAGGCCGTGGACAAGCCGTAAGACCTAACAAACATTCTGTGGTAAGGGATGTCCCGTAATGTTAATATTTCCTTTAACTCCTAAACTCATAGCTTACTTTCATTACTTCTCCTCTGCCGTATGAGTCAAATGCTTCCCACAATCAAACCGCCATTTCTCACTGTTCAGCCATTGTTTATTTTCCCTGTATTTAACCACCCGTTTATATCGCTTTAGTTAACTTTAGTTATTAATAAATTCACTGTAATCAGGAAACTGTGTGTGTTGCCTATTTCCACGTCCCTGCCAAGAGAATTCACCCTTTAGATATGAGACTGAGTGATTGAGTTAAGATAATTAGATTAGATTAGATTGTTAACTAACTGATCACTAGTAATAATGGTATAATTATTAAAAGCTACCTAGAGGTCCAGAGACTCTAGGATTATAACAACTCCGGTGGTGCCCTGAAACGAGGAATATTTTTTGATTTTATGAATATTCAAATTCATAATCGGGTATTAATTCTCATAAATTTATTCAAATTCATAACTAATTTAGCCATGCTACATAATAATATTGCTACATTTTGTTTCAAGTTCACTTAACGTGACCCCCCCACCCACCCACCGTTACTCAGCATGCCTGCATTTAGAGAGAGAGAAACAGAGAGAGCATTGCTCACAGTTTCAGGGCTTCTCAGTAACTACTGATATGTCCCTAGAAAAATTCTAATCAAAACATTTAGATGTTGCCAGTCAGTGTCTAGTTAAAGAGGTGGTATTTTTTGAGTTAAATACCTTTTTTGTGCATCTAATAGGTTTGCAAAGTGAAAAAGCCCAAAGTCCAGCTCAAAGGTAGTTACCATCTCCCACAGAAAACACTGCTCTGAATTGCTTTAAAACAGCTCGTTTGTAGTTCAGCCGCTTCCCTTTCATCCTTGTGACGACACAAGGAAGAAAGCTAAATGCGCCTCATATATCGCTCATCAAGCGGCTACTCCGACATGCCCTCAAAAACACCGGTGGAAAAACACTGAGCTGCAGCACACACCTCTCCTCTCCCTTCCAAACACTAGCTACCTTCCAGGCAGTCAATGGACATAAAGTTGTTACTGTGATGTAGAGACAGCGCTCAGTTAAAACGTTATCGATGAAAGATACCTTTGTTACAGATTAATAACTCACCACTCTGAAACTCTTGCTCCAGTCTATGTTGCCAAGCTGGTTGGCAACATGTAGCCTACAGCTGAACCGAAGCCGCGTTTGCTTCTCACTGACCCGCCCTTCTCTGCTTCTGATTGTCTAGCAGTCCTTACCTAGGAACTGCACACGAGACACTCCCAACAAAGATCATTTAGAGACAAGATGTATCACTCCATAGCTAAAACGAAGCCTTCAACACAGGGTGAAAAGTGGAGCTGCAGCAATGTGCAGTATGAAAAAAGTTTTTTTTTGAAAATTAAAGCAGGTAAACCTGTTCTGGTACAATCCCTATGTAAGATTTTGAACCTGAAATTTAGCATAATACCACCTCTTTAATGTATTTGCTGCACAAACCGTTAACAGTCCGCCGCAAAGTAGCGAGAGAATAACATGATACACCTGACCGCAAAACAGACATCTGTCGCTCTGTCTCTGTCCCCCTCGTTCAGAGACACTTTGCTCTGTTTAGGTCTCTCTCAGTGAAAACATGAAAGATTTCTGGGCTAAGCCCCCAATGTTTCAAGGTCCTGGAAACACCCCTGGTTACTTCCCCAAAGAAAGACACAGAAGAGGAGGGAAGACTAAATCATGATTCAGCAGGGATGATATTACAGGAGAAAAGTTGATCTACAGGGGAAACAGATTTGAAAGCAAAATAGAATGACTGAGAGCTGCACTGCATTATATTTTGTTACAGTTAGGCTATGAATTTTGAACTGTCACCTGCCAACTGAATTATGTTTTCTCTTTACAAAAAAAATCATCATAATGCAGGAAATAAAGTGTTTAATACTTTTCATATAATTTACCATTAAAGGTAGAATAGTGTTAAAATCTTGTCTCGATCTCCTGAACCCAATTTCGAATCTAGTCTTCTCTTGTCACACCCCTACTAATTACTCATCACTCTATCCATAATACACAAGTAAACACTTTGACTATGCTGTTTGGTTGAAACTGTGCTGTACTGTCCAAATGTACTGTAAATTGTCTCATCCTTTTTTGTTTTTCACAGATATTAAAGATCATTTTTGAGCATCTTTCACCTTTAATTGGACAGACTGAGGTACAGGACAGGAAATGGGAGGAGAGATAGAGGCATGACTAATAGGCTACTATTTCCTATATTACTGCTATTTCCTATATTTCAATAATACTAATGCCATTATCTTACATGCATGGTTAATAA